TTAATTCCATCAGATGCTTCTTGTCGACTACCAATTTTAATTTTTTTTACTGCAACATCATCATTTGTTCGTGTATCTTTTGCTTTATACACAACAGCATACTAATTACAAAAAAACAATGACGGTTTTTTTTATTATTCTTATTTTTTATATTTATTTATTTATTTCAATGCTACCTGTCCTTCACCAAGTACTTTAATAAAATTATATCGACGAATTTTAGCCGACATTCTTATTTTCTAGAAAACATAAATTTCATGAATAACCAAGAATAAACGAGTGATATGGACAAAAAAAAAGACATAATAAATACAAAAATATACATAAAAAAAAAAGTGATCATAAAACATAGAAGCAAAATATGACAAATCAGAGATCAAGATTGATAATTTCCAATAACTCGACGAATAAGATCATTAATATCCTAAAAAACGAAAATTATTTTTTACGTTTTATAAATGAATATTTTTGTCTTTTACCGATGGTCGACATGAATCTTCAATCCAACGAAGAATTGTTGATGCAAATTGAGAAAAATTTGTTATTTGTCCTGATTGCATTGCTTGATCAAAACTCACAAAAATTGCATCAGCAATATTTTGAAACTATTAAAAAGAAAACTTCTTTCTTTTTTTTTTTGTTTTCAAAATTTAATCAATCAAATTAAACATACCACTTTAAATTTATGTTCATCATCAAGTGCTTTATTTGCATTTTTCCTTGAATTCATATTCATTTCAAGAATATCTTCATACGTTCTATTTTTCAAAAATAATAAAAAATACAAAAAAACAAAACAAAGCAAACTTTTGAACTGCATGTAAACAAAATATCTCTTTCTTTTTCGCTTCTAATTGACTATTTAATTGTTGTTGTTCTTTATTTAATTGAATAAGATAATCAGTAGCTAAACAATTTAAAAAAAAAAAATTTTTCATTGAAAACTTTTTCTTTTTTTTTGTTTAACTCACATCGTTTAAGTATTGCTGCTTTACTAACTTTTTGTGAACTTATTGGATCAAGTAAATGACTATTAGGCACAAGACTTTGTAAAGCATCATATCCTTTCTAATAAATAAAAATTATAAAAAAAAATGAACAAAGATTTAACTTAATATTTTTGTTTTAAATTACTCGAATAGCATTTCGACGTTTTTGTTCTGCAGCTGTATGAGCAGCTCGTCTTCGACTATCATCTCTTTTTGTTCCTGAATTTTTCTCAATAACACCACTTGACATATTCATATTTATTGAATCACCTTCATCATCATCATCATCATCATCTTCATCTGTAGTAAAAAACAAAAAAAAAACAATCCGAAGATTCAATATTATAATTTTTAACAAACCAGTATGATCAGCTGATGATGATTGAGTTTGTACTGTTGATTGTGGTATAACTTGTTGAATAAATTGACGTTTTTTAAATGGTGAAGCTAATTGATCTGTTCCTGAATAACTACGTTTTAATTGATTGTCATTACCATTTATTCCTTCATAATAATGAACAGCTAAGAATTTATTTTTAAAAATTAATCAAATATTTAAAAAATTTTTTTTTTCCTATATACCTCCATCATAATGAGATGTTACTTGAGAATTTACAGGTAACTAAAATGACGAAATAAATCATTTAAATAAAACAAAAACAAAAAAAAAGAACATTTACTTTTAAATGTGATTTTGTTGCTTGATTAACATCTTGTTGATGCCAATAATCCGTTTTTCCTGATGTATCCATATGATCTACAATAGATTTCATCTGAATGTTTTCTTTATATATATGATCATATGAAAATAAACACAGAAAAATAATAAATCATTTGATCTTTGCGATAGAAAATTATTATAATAAGCAAGAGCGAGAAAAAAAAAGTATCAATCTGACTAATGAACATTCGAATTAGCTCGTTCACATAATCGAGCAAGTAATGATGATAATTGTAATTGGGATTCAACACCTTGAGTAACACGCATATATGTCAAACCAATTTCCTTAAATGAAAAAAACAAAAACAAAAAAAGAATTTTAATATTAATCATTAAATTTATTTTTCTTTTACTCGAATAAATTCAAGTTGTATAAATTCACTCATTGGATATGTTTTAGTTACACGCATTATCACAGAAAGAATATCTTCAGCTGTATAACCTATTTTAATAAATAATAATTAATAAGAATAATTCTTATATATATATAATTTAACCTAATCGCCAAAGATGATTCATTGCTTTATATGCTTCATCAAGATCACTTTTAAGACATTTTTCAATCATATCACGAATTAAAATTGGATGTGGTTCATCACATACTTTAAATACATTTTCACTATTTACATGACCAAATCCGAATACAGTTGATTGAAGATTATTAATAGCCTATAAATCATTTTTCAATAAAAGAAAATAAAAATAAAAATAATTCTACTTGTCGCATATCTCCTTGTGCTGTAAAAATAATTGCTTCAAGACCTTCAGATGTAAATGAAACTTGTTCAGCATTAGCTATTTCAATTAAACGTTTTAATAATTGTTCATCATTTAATTTTGAATATCGTAACATTGCACATCGAGATTGAATTGGTTCTTAATTAATATTTATATTAAATGAAAAAAGAAAAACAAAACAAGACATACCAATAATTTTATCTGAAGCATTACATGCAAGTGCAAATCGAGTTGTTTTAGAATATAATTCCATTGTACGACGTAATGCTTGTTGAGCACCTTCTGTCATACTAAAAAACAAAAACAAAAAAACAACCCGGTAAAAAAAAACATTGATGATAAAATATATTCGATTTTCAACCTGTCAGCTTCATCAAGAATGATTATTTTATGTCGTCCTTTTGGTAATGATACTTTTGATTGTGCAAACATTTTTATTTTCGTTCGAACAACATCAATACCACGATCATTAGATGCATTCATTTCAAGTACAGCTTCACGAAAAGCATCACCTAACATTTGTCTTGCAAGACATAAAACACTTGTTGTCTAAATAAAAAAAAGATTCCACGTTTTTTATAATTACAAGAGAAACAAAAACCATACTTTTCCACATCCAGGTGGACCTGATATAATAATATTAGGTAAATTTCCTTGTCGAGCAAAATGAGTAAGACGTGATATTGCTTCTTCATTACCAACAATATCATCAAGTTTAGTTGGACGATATTTTTCAAGCCAAGGTATATGTTTTGTTACTGTTGATTTTGAAATAACATCAAGTTCTTTCGTTTGAATAGGTGCATTATTTTCTTTTGTACTTGATGCATTAATATCAATCATTTCAACATCTTCTGAATCTCTTCTATCATTATCCATTTGTCGTAAATATCTGAAGATAAAAAAAAAAATTTGTTGAATAATTAGATAGAAAATATATCAATCATAATCAATTAATTCTTCAATTATTTATAACTATCATAAAATAGTGAAATCGATATATGTATGAAAAAAATTAATAAGATAGAACAAAACAAAACCCCAACGAATAAATACAATTGTGCTGTGATCTGATGTAGTGGTATGTCGATCGTCGATAGATGACCTCACTAATCAGTAACTTAAACTAAAATGTCATGTGTCTGATTATAAACGAAGTTTTTTTTGTAAATATAATTCGCTTTATATTTTTATTTATAATTTTTAATAGATTGATCTATATTGATAAAAATTGAGTTATAACTCTTTCGACTGAATATAAAGTATCAAATAATGAAGAACAATTTCGATTAATTTTTGAAAAGTAATAAATAAAATTTATGTCATATCTATTATGAACGATTTTAAAAAATGTATAGACTTCTTTCAATGATTTATGTTGATATAACAACTAGCAAAAGAAATTATTTTGTTTATATAATAAGATATCAAACATTATTTGACATATCTGTTGTAAATGATAATGATATTTTTTTTTGTTCATCATATCAATACTTGACTCGATGTTAAATTGTTTTATCTTTAAGATTTTATTGATATCGATGTAAAATAAGATAATCAAATAAATTTGAATGTTGATATTGAACACGATGAAGATCTTAAGATTATCTTTAGATAATATTTCTGACGCAGTTCTAGTACAAGTAGGACGTTTTGATGCAAATATCAATAGTTCACTACGTTTCTTATCAAACAATGGATAATATAATGACTATGAAATGAATTTGATTTAACTTTAGCATTATACAACTTTATTTAAGCATATCAGAAGATTCATGATAATAATTGATATTATTGTTTGATGACATATCAACAATATAACATATCAAGCATAGATTATAATATTGATCTTTACTAATATCAATCGGATATTTCGATAAAGCTCACATTATAGTATCTCTTGTTACTTAACACTAGATGAATATGTTATCATTTTGATCATTATTAGCTTGAGATTGATGACAACATTGTGAAATAGTTATAGGAATACAAATATATTGTATAAAATTAACAGCTGCTAATCTTATAATAGTTCCACGATGAAAACAAAAATATTTATTAACAATTTTTTTGTTTTTGTTAATTTCTTCAAGAAAATATTTTTTTTTATAAAGAATATCTATTGCATCTAGTTGATGTACAATGCTAAGATCAATAACACATAACCAGTAGTCGTTAATTTATGATGAAAAAGTATTTCCAGATGAATTTCAAACAGATGATAATAATCAATTAAATACATGTTTTGATATATAAACATGATCAATATTCATTCAATATTATTGAATATCTTAATTTTAATATTGATTATTTTCTTCTGTAATTCAATCAATGTTAATAGTTTCGTAGCAGCTGCATATTCATTAATTAGGTATAGAACAATGTAATTTAATCTTATAAAAATATTGAATTTGATCTTGTAATGTTCCAGAATATTTAAGTCATGTTTGTTGTTTTTTATACATTTCTACTTGCACTGTATGTTGTTGTTGTTGTTGGTTGAATGAAACAATCAGCATCTGGATGAAACATTAATTCATGTTTAAAAACGATTAAGATATCACCATAATAATACATAGTTGATAACAAGTAACAACAATACCTGCTGATCTTACAGGAAAATCATTCAATGAAACAGCTTTATCAAATTCAATAACTACTAAAGTTCGAATAAAATCTTGATCATAACTTTGTAATATTGTATTATTATGCTGACAAAATATATTTCATATATTAGAGTATTGATGAACAACATTTACTACAAATTGTGTATCACGTAATATATTTATATATTTTCTACCTATAAAATGATCATGAACATGAATTGATTCGATAATTTCTCCTAGCATATTCTTTTTTTCAGAGATTTCCATATTTGGAATTCCGTATATGTGCGAATGATTGCGAACAAAATTAATATTTGCATTTAACTCGAGAATAACGAATAATATCAACATGATTATAATTATCAGTATGACGATAACGTAAGATATGATCACCAGTCTGTCGTTTATGACATTCAGAACTTGAATATTTATATATATATAAAATGAATGTCATATATTAAGATGTGTAAATTGAATTTAAATATTCTTGATTCGCCAATTTTGAAAAAATATTTGTTTTATGACATTGACATTCTAATGAACAAATATGAGAGAAACGAATACAATGTACTTTAAATTCTTATTTTATTATTGATAATGATCTGCATTTTTTGTAAATATACTACATGATATTGGTCTACAAAAGGTATTCAAGAGCAATGTATACGAAATAGATATTCTTGATTATGAAAATTAATATAATAATCCACGTTGATAATGACGATAATGATCAGATATTTTCTTAAGATAGACAAGACATAGGATGCCATCTTTACATAAATATATATATGATGAAATTTCATCAAACGAACTTTATCCATATTTGTAAAAAAAAAATGAAAATGACAATCGAAACAAAATTCTGAATGAAATGCAATATTTTTCATCTTCTATAATTTTAAATGCATCATCATGTAAACATTTCGTATGATAAATGACTTTTAAGCGTTCTTTATCATTTAAGGGTTGATCACATGATTCGTTGCGAGCACAAAGTGGTAGATAAGAATAATAATGACAATATTGCGCATTATTTAAATCATAATATAGTCAATCGTATTTACACGATGGTATATGACTTTTACTTATAACTCTAAGAGTTCTATTAATCATATAAATATTGAATTCATGCTTCAATGGCTGAATAATCATATCATTCAGAACAACTTTGACTGGTTGATATAATTAAGCCAATTAATTATATTATGATAATTGATAATAGAAAAATAATTTTTTTATTTATAAAGTATCCAACATATTGTTCAATAACCGTTGTACACTTTCAACTTATCAGCTTATTTATTATGATTAAGTTTTATATTTTCTTCTTATGCTTCAACTTCTTTTTTTTTTCGAAACGTACCATCTGGTATTTTAGCACTTTGGTCTTATTGAATAAGACAGGATGACTAATCTTCATTGACAAGGTTTATTATAATTAATGAAAATGATATAATAAGAGACGTGGGTGTTTTTTTTCGGTGTTGCAGATTGTCGATAAATTGTTTTAGATCAAGTTTGATAGTCAAGTATTTATTTTCCATGTTATCTGGATGATTAATTATCAATAAGTACAATGTGATATAGAGCCTGTTATCGTACATGTTTCATAGATAGGTTTATCTAGAACTTCACTAATAAGTTTATCAACAATAGGTACAGCATACGTCATAACATTTTCAAATTATTTATGTTGTATGACAATGTGAATCGAAATCTCACGAGATAAAGAATAGATAACAGGACGAAATGCCGAAGAACTTTCTTTTTAGATAAAATAATTGATATTAGTCCATTGACGTGGTGTATTAGTGACGAGAACCATAATATTTGATGTATCTTTATTATATTGAACATAAAGTAAAGATTAATCAAAAATGTGTGTATTAATTGTAACTGTAATTCAAGATGAAGTTACATTTTGTAGTACATCGTAAAGAAATCCTACAATCAGCTTTTAAATAAATCTGGGAAAATTGATCTTTGATTTCAGGAAGATCTAGATTTCGAACAGCAAAAATAAGAGATAAATTCAAGTTCTTCGACAAATTTAATGATTATCAAATATGGTGGATTGTAGTTTGTTTTTTTTTGCAAGATAATTTTTGTCTTCTCTATTTGCAACATAAATGATAACAACACTAATATTTGAATAGCATATGATTGTTATTAAGCTGTAATCAAATTATTTATTTTAATATTGTATTCGATTTATCAAATGGTAAATCAGGTATTCAGATATTGATGCAAATTATTGACGATGTTGATTTATTTTCTTCAACTGATAATAATTTAATGTCGCTCTCTGTCGTTGATTTTTCTCCGGAAAGAATGAAATAGCAATTTAGTTCTAATTTCAGGCAATATGATCGTGACAATTATTTTTAGACATGTCATTTGAGTGAGCGCATGTACTCCATATATCGAACAACAATTTACATTATCTTCATTTCCAAATTGACATGCTTCACATTACCGTTCGAGAGGAAATTAATCTTGTTGTAGCAACAATTTTTCGAAAAAAAGGTTTCCTGTTTTTTTAATGATGATAAGAAATACTTCAAAGAATCATCAGTTGAAGTAGTTGCAAATGTTTCTTAGAATACAGTTGTAATCATACAAAGAATAATCGATTGATATATGTACATCTATTATAAGACCATGATTCGAAAGAATAGTTTAATATTGTCGATTCGTTTGAGATGAATATCCAAAGTTCTATTGTCTTTTCTAAAATCTGAAAACAAAATTTAAAGAAAGAAGATACCAATGTCAACGAATAAAATATGTTACACATACAATACTTTACGAGGTAAAATGATAGTTTCAGAGATCATGTTTTTTTTTGTCATTACTTCACAATATACCCTTCAACAGTTATGAATGAATTAAGTCTTTGTAAATAAAAGAACAGGAAACCCTAAAAAGTCAGAACGAACTTTTCATTTTATTCATCTAAATGATGAAACATGTCAATCTTATTTACACTAAAAAACATTAAAGTTGGCATTTGTATCAATCTAAAATTACAATGAATTCATTTTTAATTCTAATCAATATAATTTTATAAATTATGCATGACTCACATCATCTTCGTGATATATTTCTTGTTTTAATACCGATGAAAACGAGTTATTTTCATAGAAATAATATTTTGCCGCTCGATCATCAACATATATTATGATAATATCTATGCTGACATTTAACTATACTATCATAAGACTACCATCATACTTTGGTTAATGATAGAGATCATGTTGTTATTCATCATATTAGCCATTCGTGTTAGTATTTATTGCAATGTAGAATTATTAGAAACATATATTACACAAAAAACGTACGCTGTTATGTGTTGTATGTTGGGCAAAAATGAAGGCAAAAGCGAACAACATGTTGAATAAATATTTGTGTTGTCTTTTTGTTCCATTCTTTGCTAGCATACATTAAACAGAATCGATAAAAAAAAATATGGTTTTGTTTAAAGAAAGAACATACTTGTTTTCTATATATATATATTTAACAGATTATCTGAAGGAAAAAAAAATCTGTTTGATCAAAATAATAGTACTTTAATTTCGCCCATTATTTATTTGCTAGTGTTTCGAAGTACATAGTAACATAAAATATGCAACATATGTTGTACTTTGCGACACATTGTAGAGTGTTTCATAAGCCTTGAGGCACGATAAAATTAGCTTTTATGCAGACAGAAAAGTAACCACTAATCGAATGTTTTATATATATATATATGAGTCTTGAGTACTCGTGTCAATTTTTCAAATAACATATTATTAGATAATATCTTCTCTTGTAATAATAAAAATATAAATATGAGAATAAATTTGTCGCAATCGACGAACAAAATTTTTTATTACAAAAAATAATGAAAAATACTCTATTTTATAAATACATCAACGATGCTCCATAATAATTGACGATAAATTGTCAACAATATTCTTTATAATTTTTCTCGATGTAGAAGACTGAAATTTTTCTCATATGATATTTATTTAATATTTAGTTGAATTCAAGTAAAGACTTATATCAGATTCCGAAATTCGACGTTGAAGTCGGAGGTACATCATAAAAACAGTCCAACATTTTTTTTCTTATAGACCAACAAGTTTATGCTTCATATATTAAGTAATGACCAAAAAAAAACAGAGAGAAACTCACATTAACAAATAGCACAAAAAAGAAGTATACATTGGTTCCAAAAAAAGTGATCCGACAAATTTAATTTCAATTTTTTCCATAATGGTAACTCTCTTTAAGAATCTAAGTAGTGCCTTAAATAGAAAAAATTGTTTCCAATAAGGATTTGGGCCAAAATAAAATCTTTTCACTCCCTTGAGCTTGAAGAAAAAGTCTCTTTTGATTATACACAGCAATAGAGCAATTGATTCTCTAAAAAATGATACGTCTTCGAGCTCTTTACAAAATCTTTTTATGACAGAGCCTACATCAATATTAACCCATGTAATGAAAACTGGAGAAAAATCGGCGGTTCTTTCCAGTAAACCCCGGTTAACCAATCCTTCTGTGCAGTTAATCGACACCGTTTGATTTTTTATTTCGTTAAGATTCGTACTTAAATTTAACAGTTATTATAGATATAGAAGTAAAGCAAAGTCGATTGAATTTCAACGTGTCTAATGAATGAAATAACTATGTTTATAAATATTGGGGTAATCCCTTTTCGTCCTTTTTTTTTTACGAACATCGGTCAAAGAAGTCCGTTCCGAACTTCAGTTTCTTTGAAAAAGTCCGGATGTTAGGAATGAAAGTCGTCCAGGTGTTCGCAACGGAAAATACAGGATGTTCACAACATAAAATGACAGCTGTTCGGAATAAAAAATGACCGATGTTCGGAATGTACAATGCTAGAGAACGATATGCAGTCGAGCGTGATGCTACTTGGTTACGTATTTTTTTATTATTATATTTGATGGATAGAGAAGCAGAAAAGGATGTAGCTATTGCTGTGAGAGCAATGCTCTTCAATTGCGTAATAATACCTGTCTAAAATAAGATGACAGTGATACATTGAGAAAAAGACAAACGGTTGGTTCGATAACGATGTTTTTCCAACAACAATAATTACCATAGACTTCTTCGTCTTTCAGCAGCGAAGCGTGCAAAGAATAATGAATACATATATACATCCTTTCTTTTTTCCAAGAACAATAACTGCTTATGACCATTATATAATTCACCAAACTAATTCAGTATGTTACGCGAGTCATCGTTCCAGCCAATCATGTTCAACATATTAGTCTCTATATAAAACAGAGAAGTTTTTAGTTTTACTACTCATTTCCACTATCTATCTGTAAGAGCTATCGTTCATGACTGAACTCTACACTATTTTAAAAAACTCTAACTGAGTGTACAACAGAAAAGAAAAATATTTTTCAAATTTTTTTACCCATTGGGCTTCATAAACTTCTTCATATCCACTTCAATTGAACCTTCTCTAAAATTCTAAAAAGCAAAATAACGACAATTATGCAATTCTATCTTTGCTTTATTTTCAAATATTAAATTATCATTGTTTCGATAACATTCATAAACTAATTGAACACCGGGCTTTTGATAGACAACCCATGTAAACACCCGACGCAGAATATACGCGTGTAATCGCAGTTTCATTGTAGACCGCGTTCAGACGCGCTAAAAATTGATTTTCACCGCGTCTGAACGTGTTTTCATTTACAATCGCGTCTATACGCAGCTGAAGAAAGTTTTCGAATGCATCTGGAAGCGATTGCAAATGAAAACGCGTTCAGACGCGGTAAAAATCGATTTTCACCGCGTTTGAACGCGGTTTCGTTTACAGTCGCGTCTATACGCAACTGAAGAAAATTTTCAAACGCATCTAGACGCGATTGTAAATGAAACCGCGTTCGGACGAGGTTACAATCGATTTCTATTCGCGTCTGAACGCGACCAAAAATAAAAAAGCATCTAGACGCGGCCGCAGGAGATTTTGAATCGCGACTGGACGCGATTTTTTACGAGACCGCATGAAAACGCGTTTTATTAAAATTTTTCAAGCGCGTTTGGATGCGGTTTAAGATAGAACGTATCAAGACGCGGTCAGATGGAGATCTGAACCGTTGCTTAACGCATTTTTTATGGAACCGCGTTTGTACGCAGGTAATAATACTGTTTAGACGCATTTGGATGTGATTTTACGTGAGAGTGCGTCTATACATGATTGATCAAAAACTATTTAAAGGAAGACATAAACTTTTATTATCTATACTCTGGTGGACTTTAGCAAGAATAGAAAGAAATGTTTGGTTTAAAGATTTAGGTACTTATATAAGAGAAAGATGTTTTTATCGTAGCATAATAAATTTCTTTAGAAACTTCATCTTTTAATGTATGAAAAAAGTAATACGAGTGGCCATTAGTATAATGAGACTATCTCTCTACTCTGTACTATTTCTACTAATCGATAGCCTGTTTTCAAAATAAGGGATAAATATAAAAAAGTTTTGCATCAAACCGTAGATGAAGAAGTCTGCTCTAAAATAAGAAAGATAAAATTTATTTTCACTTTTTGATCAAAAAACTCTTTTTGAAATTTAAGTTATAAATTATGTCCTCAATTTGAACTTTGTTTTAAAGATAAAATATACTTTGTCATAAAATAACTGTACCTCAAGTGTTTAAATGTCATGGTTGGCGTAGTGTTCAATTCATTTCGAATCGTGTGTGTTGTTTTCATTTTATATTGTTACGGAAGGAAGATACACAAGAAGATACTCAAACCCGAATAGAAAATCTAATAGACAAACCTCTTTTCTACGTTTCCTAGACGTACACATCGTCTCTACCTTATCCATTGTGTATACATAAGAAAAACACTCGCAAACTCTGTACTAAGTGCTCTAATGACGTATATAAATTTGCTAAAAAACCTCAAAGAAGATGACATTTTAGAAATTAAAAAAAAATCTTTCTATGTTAACATGATTTGAAAAAAGCTTTGGTAAACGCTTTTTTATATAATAAAAAAGAAAGACGAAAAAAGTACATGATATTTGATAAAATATAATAGCTATATAATAAGTTCTAGAAGATAGGCACTATTTAGTATTATAAATAATAGTCTTACACGACAAAATAAATGAAAATTATTTGCAAAAGAAAAAGTTGCCGAAAATTTTAAAGAAATTTTAATATACGCAATTTATTTTATACAAGTTTATTTTCATACAAGAATATCAATATTAACAAATGAGATATAATTTAGGCAGAAAACGTTCTATTGATAAATGCATTTGTACATAATATAGATATGAAGTCACGATTCATATATACTTTCTGTTTCATTCGACAACGATTGTGGTCACATGTGGCTTCATGGTATGTATACTTGCTTCTTAATTGCTAGTTCACTTGTTCTAATCTCATTTCTATCGTTTTAGATAAATCAACATTTCAACCTTCCGTTCGCCTATAGTGAGGTAAAGACCATCGTTAGGGGACATCAATGGCGACTCAGTTCAAACCTGAGACGGATTGCAATATTTTTTTTAAATCTTGAATGTCGAATCGAACGCGTTTAGACGCGATTTAATTTGTAATCGCGTCTAACCGCAATTTGGTTTGGAACCGCGTCTCCAATGAAACATTTCTTGCGTCTAGCCACGGTTGGAGAAAACCGCGTCTAGACGCAATTTGCTTTAGAACCGCGTCTCCAGTGAAACATTTCCTGCGTCTAGACGCGGTTTTTTACAACCGCGTGTAGACGCGATTTTCTCCAACCGCATCTAGCCGCAGCAAATGTTTCACTGGGGACGCCTTTTTTGCGTTTCTTCGCTGGGATTGACACGCAGCGAAACGCAACTCAGACGCGTTTTTATCAAAAAAATATTTACATGGGAAGATTTATTTTTTGATTACCACCAATTTCGTACTTCAACAACTGTGTTTCGTTCTAAAAAAAACATATAAATATAAATGATAGTTGATTCAATTTTATCTTACATTATTGAATACTAAACGATAGCTATTTGAAACCATCCACCAATGTAAAGCTACCATAATATTTTCACCTGAAAATTCATTCTTACGTCCATACAATTCAAATAACACAGGAAGAAATATTTGTTGGTTCATATCTGCAAAGAATACAACTAATACACCACTAAATAAGCTTGTTTACAAAACGACAATTCTGAAAATACACTGTATAAACGGGGTAATACATGGGATTGAATCATATCCTTATACTGATTGGTGCTTCTAATATGACTCTCAGTGTGATGGTGAGGACGAGAACAAAAATATGACTAAACTATAGTAATTCCTATTTTCAATATTATTCTTCTCAAAACAGCAATATAACATTGATTAATTAATTTTTTTTTGTTAACTCGATAGATGTAGATACATTTGATATACACGCTAGCGTCGAAGCTAAGCTTACATTCAATTAACGGTATGCTTGAGCGAATCTCGGGTTCAAGATTGGAAGCACTGGATTTCGGATTGAAGGAGAAATTTATCTTAAAACTCGAGTTAGTCTGTAACCCGATGTCGAATTCAGATTCTTTGTAATGGGCTGTGAGGAATAAATGACATTTCAATGAATACAATTATCAGTTGATCAATTGAATTTGAATTCATGAATTTATAAATAGTTTTTCATCATAGCAGTTTTTATGTATAAAACCGTCCACAATTTCCCTAGTTCAAATTTACTTCATGAACTGACGATTTTGTTAGTTAAAATGTCGCTGTTGCTTCTCAGTTCTATAATAAGAATTCGAATCCAACATTGATTTACAGATTAATTAAAGTTAAGTGTGAGTGTTCTTACATTCCCCATACACCAATATCTGCACCTACACCACACCTTAATTGAACAACTGAAACTAGAATGATACATTAATGCTGAGTAATGCAATTAAACGTATTCAAAAAATTAGGCACATCAATCAACCTGTCTTAGCCTGGAGGCAGCTCTTGTGCAGGGCTGCCAAATCTCCTGATTTACCCAGGAGACTACTGGTTTTTAGACTATTCTCCTGGTAAAAAAATCTCCTGGTTTCAGGAGCTGGGTTTTAAAACATTCTCCTGGTTTCTCCTGGTTTTTTACAAATTTTTCAATTTGAGCATTATTTACATATTCATTAAATCTTTTAAATCATTGAGATAGGAAAACAGAAGAAGAAAATAAATATCACACTATTTGATAGAGAGTTGAACAGAAAAGAATAGAATAGAAAGATAACTTCTTGTCTTTTTTTCTTTTCTTTTCTCGTCAGCTGCTCCCATTTGTTCTGATTCGACTAATCTACTTATTCTTACGGACGTATTTTCTTTCTTGAATAGGAGAAATCATTGTTTTAATTGTTCTTATTATGTAGAAAAAAGACGATTCTTGACCGTTTCCTTGTTCATTCCTTTTCTTTATCTCTCTTTTGCGTAAACATTCATTATTTTTCTAATAAAAAATCGTGAATTATCCATTTATCTATCGCGTCATACAGTTAGCTACTAAAATTTTAATATTGTAAGTAAAAAAATCTTTTGTGGATTATACAATGTCTTCCACACGAGAAGAAGAAGATGAAATTATTGTTGTATCAAATGCATTGAAAGAAGATCATTTACCAGAATCTTCACGTTCATCAGAACCAGTGAAAAATATTGATTCGGCTTCATGTAAAAATAATTCCAAATTTACAACTACATCATCATCATCTATCAACGTAACAAAACGTTACATATCAAAGTTTAAAAAAGAATGGTTATCGAATCCAAAATATTCGTCGTTTTTAAAAGAATGCAAAAATGATCGAACAAAAGTATTATGTTGCATTTGTAATGTACAATTCTCAATCCAAAATAGTGGTGTAACTGATATTAACACTCATATGAAAACAAAAAAGCACCAAGATTGTGTAAAATCAACTGAAGCTAATAAATGTAATGTTTTTTTTTCTATTATTTTTGATAATATGATATTCTTATTGTTATTTTTTCTCTTTATAGCAAAAACAATAGATGCATCATTTAGTACAACTACAAATGAACTTAATCGCTTGTCTGCCGCCGAAGGAGCATTAGTATTCCACGGCGTGAAACATTCACATAGTTATTTATCTCAATCGTGCACCATCAATATGACGAAAAAGTGTTTTCCAGATTCTTCTATAGCAAAAAATATAACATGTGATAAAACCAAAGTAAAGAATAATAATCATGTTAAATTTTTTAATTTGTGTGATTTATTTCACATTTAGGCACGTGAAATAGCTTGTAATGTATTAGCACCAGTATTTACAAATACAATTATTCAAGATCTTAAAAATGTTTCGTATTTTTCCATTTCTTATGATGCATCAACTAAAGGAAATGCAAAAATGTTACCTATTGTTGCACAATATTTTTCTACATTTGGAATAAATCATGGAATTATTGAGTTTATTCAACAACAACATGAAACAGCTAATAAGTTATTTTTTAATATTAAATATGTGCTAGAATCCAATGAACTTAAATTAGAACAACTTAGTTCAATTGGATCAGATAATACGAACGTGAACATTGGACAACATCATAGTGTATTTGTTTTATTTAATCAGTTAGTACCTGGTTTAATACAAGGTAAAGAATATGATAATACTAAAATCTATTAAATGACTCGTCTATTGTTTCGCATTTAGGTAATTGTTATTGCCACATTTGTCACAATTCAGTTAAACATGGAAATGATCATCTTTTATTTGATATTGAAAGTGCTATGTTGAAAATTTATGCTCATTTCTCCAGGTCATCAGTTCGTTTAGAAGAATTATCAAATTATTTTGATTTTATTGAACAAGAACAGAAGGTAATTAATTATATTTCAAATGTTCTAAATCAGCTATTTATCTCGAGATGTTAAACAAGTTCATTTCACATTGGATCATACACTTAGGTTATTCTTCAGCATATTCGTTTACGTTGGCTTAGTCTTTTACAATCAATTGAACGTTTAATTATTGTTTATCCAGTGATTAAAAGTTATTTTTTAAATATTGCACATGGTCAATGTCCAAAACTGTTACTAGAATTTTTTACTTCAAATAAAGGTAAGAACTATTCTTTTTTAAATATGTGTTTGAATGTTTGTGTTCGACTTTTCCAATAGCTGAATGTTCATTATACTTTTTGAAGAATGTATTAACAGAAGTACAAGAAGCTAATTTACAATTACAAAGATATTATACAACCGGTGTTAATTTATACTCCATAATAACAGGTTTATTACGTAGATTAAATAATCGTTTACGCGATGATTATTTTGGTTCTAAAGTGATGAACTTATTAGAAAAAATTCAACATCCGACTGAAGTTGATGATTTAAAAAAATCGTTTCGATCATTCATTCAAACAGTTATCCAATATATTGAAAGTTATTACCAAGATCGTTCTTTATTTTACAAATCAATATCAATTTTTAGTGAAACAGATATTGAAACAATTGAATGGAAAAGTATTGAATATTGTACTACATATATTAATGCCACAAATATTGATAAAGATTGTTTATACAACGAATTCAATCATATTCGATCAAAATATGTTGGAATGAAGGACAAATTTGGTGGAATTTATAAACAAGTGCAGAATTTTATTTCATCAAATTTAGTCTCAACAAAACAAATTGATACAACATTAGATAATGTATGCGACATCGACGTTCAAAACAACTGTGATACAGATAATGAAGAACAAGATGTTAAATTTCATAAAGAACACAAAAATCATTTTATAAGATGTGATCAATTATGGGCTTTTCTTCTTTATGATGAAAATGTACCTAATTTACGAAAATTAATTGAATTTGCATTTTCAATACCAGCGTCAAATGCTTTTTGTGAATCAATCTTCAGTCATATGAAATTTTTATGGAACAATCATCGAAACAACATGAAGAATGAACTTATAGGTGCAGAATTAAAAATTAAAATGAATAATCATCATGGCTGTACACAATTTTATAATTATCTTTATAATAATCCAGATCTACTGAAACAAATTCGCTCATCAGAAAAATACAGTCATGTTGCAAAAGTGCCACGTAAGGCGTAGGTGATACTTTATTTTCCATTTATGTTTATCTATTTTGATGTACATTAGTTTAGTTTTTAAGTAAACTTTATCTTCTACGTATATTTATATTTGTATAGGTATGAATTGTGAAATGATTAGTAATAAAAATATATATGATTATGACTAATGGTAATAATTATTTTTGTTTTTCATTTCACTTAGTAACACGTTTTTTCATTACTAGCTTAGCAGCACATAATAATGAACGGTTATGTTAACAGAAATTGTAGTTTTCTTCGAAACACAACTGCCAAATCAATTCATAACTTCGCTAAAAACCTCCTGGTTTTTCTCCTGAATTGTTATTATAAGTTCCCTGGTTAACTCCTGGATTTTGTGGGACGCACTCCTGGTTTTCAAAATTTGAATTTGGCAACCCTGCTCTTGTGTCAAATATTCAAGGCTCCTCAGAATAGAAATACGTCCATTTCACACACTATCGATAGTGCTCATTCCATTAGTAGATCCAGCTTTCTTTACTCTTGAGTTCGAACCTTGCCCGTGTGTAGGTGGTCGATGGCAATAAATAAAGCAATTCGTTATAGAGTCAATAAGATAAATAATTTTAAAATTTTCTTAATCTCATTAAGACTCGTTTAAATTCAACGAGATGTAATCAAAAGCTCAGAATCACTTGACATGTTTTCCTCGTGAATACAAACAGATACAGACAATAGTTATTAAAAACTTTCAATTATCTAAATCGTGATTTCTACCGAAGTTTTAAATAGCAAAAAAAATGATGACTCATCCCATTAGTTATACATATATTTGTTTTTTAATGTTTTGATGTTTTAACAACAAGTTAAAAAAATAACAATAAATTTATCCATCTAATTTTTCTCAATTCTTGTTTATATATTTTCATAGGTATCATTCTGTTGTTGTTAGTTCTGTTCTTCCAAAAACAAGAAGAGAGATAAAAATTTAATGGAAGAAAAAAAAAGAAAACGTCAGCTCATGATTGAATAATAACAGATATTGTGAGAATGAAGAAAACAAACATTTGAGCATAAAAGAATGAAAAAAAGACCTAAGAAAGTTATTTCGTTTTACTAAAAAGAGTATCAACCACTTTGGACATATTTTGAATAATTACTAAAGCATCTTGATATTGTGTATCCGATGGTGTTTCATCAAAAATAACTATATTCGATGAACCTTGATCAAGAATACCAATAGGTTTCTTATCTAAAATCATTTGAGAGAGTTTTTTCTCGACAACATCCTTAAAAAAAACCAGAAATAAATATTATTTATTTATTTTTTTGCAATTAAATAAATATACTTGAGGTAAATTAATCAAATGTGCAATATGTTCTTTGTAGTTTCGAAGGTTGTCTACTACAAAGAATTTCTTTTGTAATTGACTTTATCGAGTTATTTGAAATAGAAAATGTTCACTAAGATATAATGTCATGAATACAATCAAAATATTTTGTTGTTGGTACGTATTGATTAAAGATATATAATTCGTCAAAATTGGATGAATAATTTTTGGTGATGAAAGTTCAATATAATTTAATCATCTTGCTCAGAAAATGAAAATAAAAAGGGAGACACAGTTGAAAGTGCTAGTATACAAACTAGATATGATGTACTACATAATGATATACAATTGAACTCCCTAATCTACTTGGCTCACGTATAGTAAAGAAAATAGAATGACCTTACATATTTGGGCGAATAATTTTTATACTTACTGTGTTTCATGAATTTTTAGCGGTTCTTCACTTATAGCATGTACTATGTTCTTTATATTGGTTACCCAAATAGAATAAATTCGTATCCTAGGCTCTTCTCTTTCAAATGAGACGTTTCAGGCTGAAACAGTCAAGTCATTCTTGAAATAATATGAGAATACTGAGCACACTCTATAAACAGTCAATTTAGGATCTCAATACATCCTTTATACTTGTTTTCACTCGCGTTTTTCATACGTAAAACCAAATGGCCTAATATTTTGAATTTATAGTCCTTTGGTCTCAAATTCAGATTAAGGGAGGAATTGTTTGCTCACCTCTCTTACGACGATTTCTTATTATTTAATCACCATACTTGGGTGTTTGATAGAGGGCGCTATAAAGTATATAATGGTATAGCATGAGTAACAGATCATTGAACTGAATGTATGAAAAGGTTAAAAGAAAATGTGTAAGAAAAAAAGTGTGACATAATTATACATCTTATATAGATTCCAATTGATTTACACAAAAAAATGAGCATTCTAAATGTCTATCAAGCATTCTAATCATCAAGTTCAGTAGTCCTCTTCATGATATTCGTATTTAATGAAAATGATTCAGTCTTATCGTCTACTTCTATATTGATATCATCATCTTCATGTTCATCTTCTTCTTCTTCATAGGCTCCTACGTAATCCTTCGCATTCTTTATATTACTTATAGATCCTTCTAAAAGAGGATCACCGTTAATAAGCATATCACAATATTTTTGAGCATGTACAATCATTTTTCTGATCATTTCTGTTAACATTTCTTGATGCTCGCTTCCATCATTGTTAGGGTCAATGTCCATTTTTATTCCCTCTACTGGAAGGAGGGTCATACACCGAGTTGGGTTTGTATGTTCGTAACTTCGTTCGTTCGTCCGCACAGAACGGGAAAATGTTTTTTTAACCTTCAGCAGAGTTATTTGTGGAAATGTAGACAACAATTGACTCCCAGTGTCAACAGGGGTTTTTCAAGATGGGCTATCAACCAATCGGATTGGACGCAGAGCAAATCCAACCAATCAGACGTTTTTCCGATATGAGCTCTTAGCCAATGGGATTTCGCGGAGGCAAAATCGAGCCAACTAGAGATTTTCGGTTTGGAGCTCTTAGGCAATGGGATTTGGCGAAGCAGAAATCGAGCCAATCAGAGGTTTTTCATATGGGCTCTTAGCAGATGAGATTTCGCAAAGCCAAAATCCAGCCAATCAGAGGTTTTCCGATATGGGCTCTTAGCCAATGGGATTCGGCGAAGCAGAAATCAAGCCAATCACAGGTTTTCCATATGGGCTCTTAGGCAATGAGATTTGGCCAAGCCGAAATCGAAGCAATCAGAGATTTTCCGATATGGACTCTAAGCCAATGGGATTCCGCGGAGGCGAAATCGAGCCAATCAGAATTTTTTTCATATGGGCTCTTAGCCAATGAGATTTCGCGAAGCCGAAATCGAGGCATCAGAGGTTTTGCTGTATGGGAGATTAAGCAAGGAGATGTCGTGCTGCGGAACTCCAGCTAATCAAGGGTTTTCAGATATAGGTGGTTACTCATTGTGGTTTCGCGAAGCCGAAAGCCAGCCAATGAGATTTTGCGCAAGGGAAGCTGAGCAAATCGGGTGTTTGTGGGTATGACCCATCAGTGAATAAGATTCCGCGCAACCGAAGTTCAGCCAATGAGAGTTTTTTGGATATGGACCAACAATCGATGTGATTTTGTGGCACCGAAATCGGTCCAATCCGAGGATTTCCAAGATGGGGTCTTAGCCAATGAGATTTGCCAGAACCGAAATTGAGCCCATCACGGGTTTTTTTTCATACGGGCCATCAACGAAGTATATTGTGACGCGAGGAAATTGGCGGAACCTGGCATCTTTCGGAGCGGGTTAGTGGCGAAGAAAATTTCGCGGAGTGGTACTCGAGTCAATCTTGTGTTTTGAAGCTGTGGTGTGAGAAAATGAGGTTTTGAAGATGTGAATGAACTTATCGTGCGTTTTTTGGTTTGGATTTGTAGAAAATGAGTTTTGAGGAGCAACTTTTCGAGGAGTGGAATTTCTGCCAGTGAGATATTTCCGAGGTCTGGCTCTTGTCCAATGAGGTTTCTGGAGTTGGGATTTTAGCTAATGAAATGTTTTCGAGGTCTACTTTTCCTCCAGTGGGATTTCTAGGATTGGACTTTCAGCCAATAACATGTTTTTGAGGTCTGTCTATCTCTCGTCCAATGGGGTTTCGAGAATTCGTATTTCAGTCAATTAGATGTTTTTCAGCTCTAATTCTCGTTG